AGATACTCTGCTAAAAATAATATTTACTCCATTTAATGCTTTATTTATGAGAGATGTTTAAGGATCCCTAGTTTAATGGGCAAGGAAAACCAAATTCTGAGTCTTTAGTCAAACCCATGGCTTCTCTGAATAGGAATTCATTCTGTTAATAAGAATAGTCTTTTTCTAATTCACATCCATGGCAACCAACTGATGTTTGGTTCTTTACAACTGGGGAAGGGAAAAGTGAATGACTTTAAAGAAATAAGCCTTTATTTTTAGAATAATTTTATACTAAGAGAAAAAATATGAAAATAATAATTGAGTTCCCACAGATCCAAACCCAATTTCCTGTATTGCTAACATTATGTTAGTATTCATATTTCTCACAATTAATGAGCCAATATTGATACATTATTATTAATTTAAGTTCACATTTTGTTCAAATTTCCTTAGTTTTTACTTATAATCCTTTCTTCCTAGCCCAGGATCCCATGTATTGAGCTATCATGTCTTCTTAGTTTCCTCCAAACTGGGACACTTTTGTGATTTTTTTTTTTTATGATCTTGACAGTTTCGAGAATATTGCTTGGGTATGTGTAGAATGTAAGATGGGCCACTTTTATTCTTGCTTTTAAAAAATGAGACTAAATATTATCCAGATTCTTGGTCTAACCACCAGTTTACAAGAAATTTAAGTAAAGAGGAATATTTTAAAGAATAAAGATGAAGTGAGCAAAATCCCAATTGTAAGAAATTCTATTTTAAGAATGACCCTTTTGCCGTAACTGGTTTGGCTCAGTGGATAGAGAGTCGGCCTGTGGACTGAAAGGTCCCAGGTTCGATTCTGGTCAAGGGCATGTACCTTGGTTGCGGGCACATCCCCAGTAGGGAGTGCAGGAGGCAGCTGATCAATGTTTCTCTCTCATCGATGTTTCTAACTCTCTATCCCTCTCCCTTCCTCTCTGTAAAAAATCAATAAAATATATATAAGAAAAGAATGACCCTTTTAAAAACATATAAAGAACAAGACCAAAAATAACAGAGGAAAGGAAAAAGTAAATCCTGATCCATATAAACTTACAGTTTAAAAAAATAAATCATAAGATAAATAAGAGAAATTTCAACATTGTTTGTATATTTGACAATATAAAAAATTATTATTAATTTTTAGGTATGATATTGGTATTGTGAATATTTTAAAAGACTTCTTATCTTAGGTGCTTATTAAACTATCTATGTTTGAAAGGAAATGATGTCTTAAATTTGCTTTAAAATAATTCACTAGTCAGCAGGAGAGGAAGGGTGGGAAAGGAGGTATGGGAAAGGGAAGAGATGAAACAAGATTGGCCATATGTCTGTAACTATTTTTTTAAAAGCTATGTATTTTTTTAAATATATTTTATTGATTTTTACAGAGAGGAAGGGAGAAGGATAGAGAGTTAGAAACATCAATGAGAGAGAAACATTGATCAGCTGCCTCTTGCACACACCCCAGTAGGGTTGTGCCCACAACCAAGGTACATGCCCTTGATTGGAATCGAACCTAGGACCTTTCAGTCTGCAGGCCAACGCTCTATCCACTGAGCCAAACCAGTCAGGGCTGTCTGTAACTATTAAAGCTACATTAGGAGAACATGGAAGTTCATTATATTATTCTTTCCACTTTTATATGATTGAAAGTTTCCAAAATAAGACTTAAGTTGTGGCATTATTCTGCATGGGAGAACATATTTGCCAATGTTATAGCTGATAAGGGCCTAATCTCCACAATTTATAGGGAACTCACACATCTTAACAAAAAGAAGATAAACAATCCAATCACAAAATAGGCAAAGG